TCGCACTATCTCTGCGTTAACTGTGGTCCAGGGCCTGCTAACCGCATAAATTGTATTGCCCTCTCCTGCTTTCTATTCCCCTTTGTAAGGCCTACTATAATCGCCGCTGCCTACGAACTCCTTGGTGGTTATTATCCTCCTCCTAAATCCCAATCCCGCGTGTGTGTGAATAAGAACTTTAACTGGTTTCTCTACTTGCCAGGATTTTGGTACTGGAATCTGTGCTAGTATAAGCTTAATGGCCTGAGGATACTGTTTCTAAGGCAGGGGTATGTCCACCAATGGTAATTTTCGCATCTCTGAAAGCTATCAGTCTTTCCCCTGATGTTTGTTCCGAGTTTATTATTTGAGAGGTTTCTGAGTACTGTTTGCAAGCTTCACAGTGTTAAAATACACTTTGTCAGTTTTATGCAATTTTGTCTCAGCGGCCGACAACAGAGGGGAACACAAATTATCTAAAGCTGCAACCTCCCCCCAAAAAAGAACTAAAAAATGTTTACGATTGCACAATTAGTTTTTTTGCCTTCCTCTACATGATCACTGCAAACGCGTCTCACTTGAGGGAGATACATAAAAATGACTGTTAGCAACAACATATTGGAATACAGGCTGTAAGTAAAGCACAACACAAAACGCATGGCTCTACCGGAACTAAAAGGTGAGTTGTGCGTTAATTTTTCACGATTCGGCTTTACGAAGTCGACCCTGGAAGTCCAGTTTACATTCATTTGAATAAGTACATGTATATGCATGTTAATTCACCAGACAAATTTTCTTGGCACATTTGTGCAGTATTATTGGATGATTTCTCATAAATGTTCCTCTTTTACAAGTGACAAATGCTAAGATAGCCCGGCGAACATAGGAGCATTCATATCAAAAGCACAAAACGTCCTATACCATAAACGTTATATTTAGGTCTTCCAGTCATGGTAAAAGTAATTGCGAGCCAAATTTTGCTATTCACATCGCTATGATAAATAAGATAAGACGCATTTAAAGACTCACTAGTTTGCCGCCTCCAGTGTACCGGAGTTCCACTAGAGAAAATTCTCAAAAGGTTTTTACGGTTATCTATTTTGGGTACAAGGCCTGGCAGAACTTAAGAAAACCGACGCCCAGGAGTCCCTTAAACTGATAAAGTGTTCTGCAAGCAACCTCTTCTACCAGGCATCTCCATTATGTATCCAGATGGCGTTAATTTTAGTCACCTCCATCGCGTGAAACAATTCATTTGGCGTGCTGGTGTGTAGGTATTTTTTGCCTGCGTCATTCGGGGCATATCCTCCTTCTTAAAACATACTCGAAACCAGCCCAGCCTGCTCTAATTAGATGGTAACTTTTCAGCTAGCGCGATGTTTAAAGGCGTGAGAGCATTCACTTAGCGGTTTTGGGCGAGAAACGTAGCCAACAAAGAAATGGGTGGCGCTGACGGCTATTTTTGGCCTCTCTGTCTTCGTAAGCCAGGATTAACTGGAGTGCAAGACAGGCAAACCACTTGAGCCACCGGCGTGTTGGCAACCATCGGGCATATTTAAGATCACACGAACGTGGCGTCTGTTGATCAACAAACCACGGGTCTGGTACTGACACCTGACTGAACAATTATGCGAAGAGACCGAACGGCTGCCAGTACACCTTCGGCATTATTGACTACTTGAAAGGGGTTTGGCGAGTTCTGTAAACTGCAATTTTTCCAGACAGAACTGCACATTCCTCCCGCCGTTGCGCAATGCGTCCAGGCCTAGGAATGTCGGGCAGACGCGAATTGGGACTACTATGAACGGCGAATGCTAGTCGGTGCAATTAATTTTCCGACCAACTTCTGTGTTTTGCCCGCATACCATACCTACAGAAATAAAAAAGCCAGCTGGGCTCTCCTTTTGTTATCCTAAATGGTAAGCTTTTCTCGAGTCATATTATACTATTCACTACATATATTTGTCGTTTGAGACGCAGGCTTGTTCAACACTCCCTCAGTTATTTCGATTCGATTATATGTACGTTGAATTAATGGCTATTATTAGATTTCAGTTCGATTTTGTGGTGATCTAGAGTTTGCCTGACTGTAGCACAATCTGTAAGTTAATGAAATTTAGTCATTCCTGGCATGTAGTCCCATTAATTTTCAAACGTAAGTCTTATTCCAATTTTGCCTTTTTTCTTTTACTCTCGGTATGGGTTCTTTTTACCAGGATCTCCCCTTTGGCTGATGGTGCACGTCGCCCCGGTTGTGAACGAGCGCGCTGAAGTTATCCTCATTTTGTTGACATTTCGGGATATCACTCCGCTGAAAACACCACTGGAGGATGAGGAGTCTAACAAGGGTGGGTTATCTAAAATATATGTATTTTAAGATGGTTTTCAGACGGTTTCGGAAGAGCTAAAATGCGCAGAAACGGGTCCCTGATAAAAACAAAACTCGCAACAATCTATAAACATATTATCCAAAACTCGATTTACCTTTGTCTTTAAATAAGTAGGTGGGATAAGTATTTCTAGTGGAGCGTTGCAGTTTTACGTCCAGGGATTGAAAATTACAATGTAAAATTTTTTATTACCGTTAATTTGGACATTTATATAGATATATTCTCATTTTCGGATTCGTTAGGGGCAATCTCTTGCCCGATTTGAAAATAAAACAGCATCATATGCCCTCTGTCTGTCTGGTTAAGTGATTTTGCGAGATGTGATGCAGGGCTATACCGCAAGGACAGCCCTTTACATGCCTTATTTGCTGATATGTCTGCGGTTAACAAAATCATTTCGTGTTAGTTCATTTAATAATCATCCAAGGGAGGGTGAATGAAGTAATACCATCCTCAAAATTATGTCAGTATTTTATTTTTCGTAAACTACATTTTTTGTTTGAAGTACGCAGAAGAAGCGAGAGACCTATAACAAAAATAATATAATACGTAGGAACGTACTTAAAAAGATGAAACCGCTTCAAATTATTTGATTTTAATAATTAATACTTTCTCTACTTTCGTCTGCTTTCATATAATTCAAATGGTCCGTGATGCACTGTTAGTTGCGTATTCCTAGTTAAAGTTTAACTCTTACAATACGGTGGCAACTGGGGCAGGATACAGTGAATTTATTATTTCATTTCACCGTACGCTTTGTTATATACTTTCTTATACATTTTAGTCTGAAATATTGTCGAAATATATTTACTTGATCAAAATTTATAGTGAATTACATAGCATTTTACCTCAGCGATTTTAAACGAGGAAATCGCGACCTGCATTATTTTTAATTAAACAGCTGTTTTCGGTCATTCACTTCAGGCCGTTACAGTGACATGGAAAA